TTTGAATACATTATATATTATGACATGCCTGCAGAGTTACACCAAACAGGTTTTTATTTGCACAGGGCCAACACACACACACACAACCAACCAACCAACCAACCAACCAACCAAACAAGCAAGCAAGCAAGCAAGCAAACAAGCAACCAAACAAGCAACCAAACAAGCAAACAAGCAAGCAAGCAAGCAAGCAAGCAAGCAAACAAGCAAGCAAGCAAGCAAACAACGAACAAACAAACAAACAAACAAACAAACAAACAAACAAAACAAACAAAACAAACAAAACAAACAAAACAAACAAATACAACTAATTACTCGCATGTCATATTCCGATGGGGCAACGCTGAGAACACCGCTGATCCAGGCAGTCCGCGGATCGGTTCACATTGAAATCGATCCGACCAAAAATGCAGCCCCACAGGAACGCCGACTCGGATGAATTTCCCTTTCCCAGCCTGTGCCTGTTGGCCTCCAACACGGCCCTAGAGGCCAGGTAGCAATCTCTTGAAGCTGCGCCGCAACGGAGTTTCTTCTGCGAAGTTGCCCAAGTCTTCCAGGATTGATGCAGAGACATGTCTCACCTCGACCAGATCTGTATCCAAGTACTTTGCTCAACAGAAGCCAATGGAGCAAGTCCTACTGGTGGGCGGCTGGACAACCTTTGGCATTTTGTGAGCAGTGAAATCTCTACAACATGGTCATGCATGCAATATCAAATAACTACCACTGGCCTGACTACACTAAACCAGGGAGTAGAACTGCCTTGGCAACATAGCCCACAAGGAATTGGTCCCGGCAGATTCCCATCACAGCGCATGCCCCTGCGATGCCATGCGCCCGAGCTGCTATCGGAGGTAGGGTAGCCTGCGATCGATCCATGAAGACATCCGGTGGGGTCTGTTTGGAGGGTACCCCTTTCTTGTGGTCTTCAAGGGAAACCGTCATTTTGAGGGCTCCCAACTCTAAAGAAGCAGACCCATCTATGCTCACTGACACATCTTCGGATGCGTAAAGCCACGTGCGGGGGAAACCAAAAAAAACAATTTGACCACGTCTCGTGTGCCATGAAGCGAAGGCCTGTAGCCAGGGATGCTGCAAGGCTTCGTTGGCCGTCATGCGCTTCTCAGGATCCACGCGCAGCAAGGCCTCGTGAGCGAAGCTGAGGCCACCGATCGGGTGAACGGCAAACGGATCAAATGTTGCAATGGTAAAGGGAACGCCATCAGCCTCTGTAACTGCAGTTTGGTGGATCAACCTCAATCAGCCTGCGTAACTGCGGTTTGGCGGATCACAGCCAAATCGAGCCCACCAGACGATGCGGGAGGGAGCATCAACCGGCAGAACGGAGCGAGCCCCGATCCGATCCGAGAATCCGATCCTGGGTGAAGTCCGCCGCCTCCAGGGACACGCCCATCCACAGCGTGGGCTTCATCTGGTACTCTCCTCGTCGGGTCTTGGCCACCAGGATCTCCTCGTTCTTGTCCTCGTCGAGCGCTTGGGGGAGATCTCGTGGAAGCTTGGGGCTTGGATTTGCCGGGGGCTTGGAGTGATGCTTACAGCGCAAAAGACAGAGACAGAGACAGGGAGAGAGGGAGAGAGAGGGAGAGAGGGAGAGAGGGAGAAAAAAGAAGCGGAGTGGGGCATCGATAGCCCACGCTTTCAAGGCAAGCCACCGCGTCATTTCTGCCACTTCAGCTGAGCGGCAAAGAAAGGCATCTCGCCTGACCTCAGTCGCGCACACTGCAAGCTCTACTGGGGGTTTCCCTCAAGCTGCCGGCAGCAACAAGTACACGAGCACGCCCAAGCTCCACCTAGGCACGAGATGGCTTGCGCAAGGCAACGCCCGGTTGCGACCAATTGTCATTGACTGACATTGCCACCTGGCTGTTGCTGTATCCCATACACAACTGGCAGCCCTGGCTAGTCTAGACCATTTCCAACACACAACTCTCAGAGGCAGTCCAAGGTGCATGTCACACTGGCTGTTGTAGGCTTCGGCAAAGACCTGGGCATTGATGCACACACGACATGAACTCCTGACTGAGACTCTCTCGCAAGGCTCGCACTTCTGGGGCACAGTATCCCAAGGTTCCACAGCAAGTTCGCATCCTCGGGCGAAAACCAAATCAACGTGTTGCTGCCTTGATCCTCTATTGCCCTTGAAAAGGGGTTTCTACAGAACAGGGGTCGCCAAAACAACGCCCAGCTATGCAAATGCCAAGCTGGGATCCAGCATTGCTGGGGGCCCAACACTGCGTCAAATCGATCCTTAGTGACTGGACATCCGGGAAACCTCTCTGTCCATCTGTGCATCTGGGCCACAGTGGGGCGTCCGTAGAACTTGCTCAAGCCGAAATCAATGAGCTTCAGGACCTGCCTCCGGAACAGTATCTTCTTATTCATTGGGGGCTTTGCGCCGCTTGCAAAGCCGCGAAGCCTACGCGAAGCCTACGCGAAGCCTACGCGAAGCCTACGCGAAGCCTACGCGAAGCCTACGCGAAGCCTACGCGAAGCCTATGCGAAGCCTCCGCGAAGCCTACGCGAAGCCTACGCGAAGCCTACGCCGCAACACTCGAAGGCTAGAGATGAGTTTGCCTTCGCCTTGCTTACGTAGGAAACCAGGACAGACACTTCTAAAACAGTTTCGGCAGCCCGGCTGCCTTAAGCCTCGATCATGTCCATACCCATGACCCTACGCATTGAGCCACTGGAGTCTAAGCCGTCACCCTGTGAGTCTGGTAGGCAGCCCGGCTCCGATTGACGCATGCCTACCCAAAGCCTCGTGCGTACGCCATGTCTTGTAGCGTGCATCAGAAAGGCTCATCACAGCCACCCGCCTGTCACGGGTGTACATGAAGTTGCCCACCTTCAGGTCCTGGCCAAAATCCGAGGCGCCATGCCTGACTAATGCCAGATCAGCCATCCTTTGGGTCGTTCCCTGGGATGAGGGATAACTTGCTGGTGCTCAGTAGTTAATGAGGGAAGAGTCCCCTTAAATACCCCATAAAACAAACCACAAGGGATGGTTTCCAGCTGTCATTCCCTGCCCTATCACACCAGCAAGACAAACACCTCCAAACATAGGTGTCCTTTTAGGGGAAATAGATGGCCCTGGTAGATGATTAAGCCACCAGAGGTAAACCAGGGCCATCTATTTTTCTACCAGCACAACCAAAAAGGACACCTATGCCTCCAAATCTTCCGCAGGAGTCTACAGGCAGCCACGCAAACCGGCCACTCGCCGGGTCCCGATGTACCACGCCGTGGCCATGCAGGTAGCTCAGCGCCAAAAGCATCTGCCGGACAAGCGCCGCCGCCTGAGAAGCACGAAAGCAGCAGCCCTCAACACCCCACAAAGGTGTCCCAGACGCGACCCTATGGTTTCCAGAACGCACAAATTGGCAAATGATGATATTTGTTGCTAAAAAAAGAAAGAAAGTAGATTCCACAGCAAACCCACAGCTTTGCATTCCGACCTCTTCCTCCTCCATTCGAATCTGCTGGCATCGCTTTTTGAGCTCGCCTCCTTGCATGCCTTGGGTATCTGAATTTCTGCATCTCTGCCTCTCTCTGCCCGTATCCGACGTGGCTCCCCTTGGCCTCGGGCACTCCATCACCATATCCAGCTTGGTGTCGGAGACGTAGACGTCCAGGAGCCGCACCACGTGCGGGTGGTCCATGCAAAGCAAGATCTTCAGCTCCGACTTGAGGTCCTCTACCTTCTGAGGAGCCACGCCCACTAAGCCTGAGATGGCTGTGGGTCAAAATCCCCAAAATGGCTTGCCCTGGTAAAGGGAGGACTAAAACCAGCGGTTTGCTGGTTTAATTTTGACCCATACCCAGATGGCCAAAATGGGGGGCCACGGAAGGGGGGGGGGAGGGGGGGGCCACGTGTTGATTGCCATCAACGCACGGAAGGTGCTGGCACTCGATCATGAAGACGCAAGCCTTGAGCATTGCTGAGGTAGGGGCTGGCCGTCTTGATGGCAACTTGTCGTGAACGTTGGAGGCGGCTAATCCCCAAGAGGACATCACCACTGACCCCAGAACCAAGCACCTGGACACATCAAAGCAGAGAGTTCCATCTACGCAGTTGCCTCTTTCTGAGTTTCTAGCAGTCTTTGTGACCTCATAGTCGTCCTCCAATGACCTGGGGGCCTGACAGATTCTGTTTTGTTGCAGTCGGTAAACCCAATGTCAAAGTGGCAATAGTCAATAGAGCTGGCATAGTAATAACAAACCTATGACTCTCAAACTCTCCAGATGTGGAAACCAACCTACTGTGGATGGGCGAAATCCATTTCGCACCACTTTGAACCCGTGGTTGAAACCATTGTTTGTTGGTATTTCACATTGGGAATCATCATTCCAGGGTTTCTTAGGCGGTGCGAAACGGATTTCGTCCATCCACAGTATGTCATACTGTCTCAATTTGCCCCACCCCGGAACCAGAAGACCACTTCTAAGTTGTGCAGCGCCTGGTGATATCGGCCGAACAAAGGTAGCCGGCCAGCCTGCAAAGTGCACCGTGAATTCGTCTTGCAAAACAGGACCTCCCGGCCTTGCTCTCGATATTGCGACAGGTCCAGTCGCCAAACATGGCTTCGACATTGGAAGGGTCCTTTGGTGTTAGCCTGAGAGCTTGTCCATCTTGTATCTTTAAATCTCAGAAATATGAGCCCTTTGTCTGCCGGTGACATCTGATATTGGAAGAGTTAGTTTCGTGAGTGTGCGCCGAGTCATTTCAGTTACTACAGTGGATGATGGTGAATATTGGCAATGCTCATGTATATAGGACTGATTGAGTCAGCCGCGTGGCAAGCTAGTTGGCACCTGCTTTCGATGCACATTGTACATCACTTGGCCCAAGTCATCAATATTATATCCAATCTTGTCCCGGAGAGCGTCAGGAGACCTCCAATTTGGGGCTAAACCTGAGGAAGTCCCTCATCGCAAAACCCCGTAATATGAAACCAACTTAGCCACCTGAGCTCAGGCAC